ATTGTGCCTAGAAAGTGTTTCTATTGATCTAACGCACAAAAGTTTAGCAACCTATGTTCCAATCCTACTCTAGCATGGCAATTCTATGAATGTAAATGACAAGAATTGAATTGCTCAAAGTAAATGCTCAAAGTAAAGAGAGAAGGAGGAACGCGGCGATGTTTTGCCAAGGTATCGGAGAGTCGCCACTCCCCACTAGTCCTCATTGGAGCACCCGTGCAAGGGTGTAGCTCCCCCTTGATCCGCGCAAGGATCAAGTGCTCTCTACGGGTTGATTCTTCGACACTCCGTCATGGTGAATCACCCACAACCGCTCACAACTTGAGTTGGGTCATCCACAAGCTCTCCGGATGATCACCAAGCTCCCAATCACCACCAAGCCGTCTAGGTGATGGCGATCACCAAGAGTAATAAGCACGAACTCTCACTGGACCACGACAAGCCTAATGAGAAGGTTGGATGCACACTTTGCTACTCTTGCTTTCACTAATGAGGGCTCTCTTTGGGATTCTCAAATCTCAATCACCTCACTGGGATCTTGCTCTTCTTGGCACTCTCAAAGGTGTTTCTCAGCTGTTGTAATGAGCAAAAGTACCTCCACACACGAATGGAGGAAGTATTTATACAGCCGGCTGAAAAACGAACCGTTATATGCCTCTGCGGGGTGACCGGACGCTCTGGTCAAGTTGATCGGATGCTCCGGTCAGTTCTCCCTGAAATCCAGTGTTAAAGTGGTGACCGGGCGCTGGACAGCGTCCGGTCAGCACTGACCGGACGCGTCCTGTCGTGATTTTCCCTCTCAGGAACCATACTGGAGTCGACCGGACGCTGGCACCCAGCGTCCGGTCGCTCAACTCTCAGCGTCCGGTCGCACCAGGCGAAATCACCTTGATCAAATGAACTGACCGGACTCTGAGCCAGCGTTCGGTCACACCAGAACCAGCATCCGGTCAGTATTTGACCCTCCATTCACTTCCAACTCACGATCATATGTGAATGAAGTTTGCTCCAATTGATCTAAGGACTATTTAGGAGCTACCTAGTGCTAGATTTAGCAAGTGTGCACCACACCTAACCCACTAGACTCACCTAGGTCAAGCTACCCATCCATACCCCCTTAATAGTATGGCCAAAGGAAAAACAAAGTCCTAAACTACTCTAAGTGTCTCTACATCTCCAATCGACACTTAGAACTAGTCCATCCTTAGCCTTTTCGTCCATCCTTTGAAAACCGAAACGATTTCCATCGTAGGGGCATGACCACCATGATAGCCCAATTGATCTCCATTACCATGACCTAACTTAATTGCCTCTGCAAAACACACGTTAGTCACAGTAATCACGTATTGTCATTAATCACCGAAACCTAACTAGGGGCCTAGATGCTTTCAAAGGAGATGGCCTTATCCCATTAAGAAACATATTCAAGACATAATTTACAATTTTTCCACGTCAAAACATGAGCCAGGACGGAGCTAAACTCGAAGCGGTCTCACACCAGGCAAACTGGCCTAGCCAGTATTCGCGGGGCTGAACGGCCCTTGCCGGACAGGATCAGAGAAGCAAGACAGACCCCCCAAATCATCCTTTCTTCGTTTGAACTCCAAATTTGATGATTCAAATGTATTTCTTGATCGTCTTGACGTCGGGAACTTCATGTTGGAGCCCATTGCACGTGTGCTAACATTTTTGCTGTCAACAAAACATAGTTTGAGGCATATATTTAATATGAAAATCGATATACTCATAAGTTCTCGCATTCATAATGATATAGTTTATGTTAAAAAAATGTCGTTTTGAGACTTTTTTTCTAAAACGACAAATGTAAGTAATTTTGATGCATATGTCGAAGTTAATTTAGTTTACTTTTAACAATGTCGAAAGTGAGTAATAATTTATATCTCTGATGAGACGATACGTGGGTAATTAATTTGCTACAAATTAAGTTCAAAACTATAACTTGGTCTATGCGTTCGTGCGTGCATGTACATGTATATATTGGGTTATTTTTGTCATGTGTTAATTTAATTATTGTTGCAGTACATGCTGAACTGGTGTATACCATCGGAGATGAAATTTCATTCATTTCATTCATGACGGATCTACGTCGCAAACTCGCCGAGCATCCAGAGGCCGAGGATATCTTGGGCGGCCACAAAGACCCAAATCTCTCCGAAACTGGAGATCATCCAGTGCTGGCCAAGCAGCGTGCTGATGAACAACCGGCGAGGTGGATTCACGTCACGCTGCAAGCAGTGGAGGGAGAGGAAACGTCGTGGATAACCCTATTCATGAGGGATGACAACGTGTACGTCCATGGTTTCATGAACCAGCAAGGAGATTCGTTCCAGCTGCTCGACGACAACCGGAATGCAGCCACCAATATACTGCTCCCAATTACTAATGGACGCGATGCCGAACTCTCAAGATGGGGCGTCAGTTTTTTTTTTTTTTTTGAAAGAACAGGAGGGGTTTCCCCCTACTGATTATATATTAAAAAAAGATAGAACACAAATGGTCAAAATAAATACAAACCCAAGAGATAGGGCCGAAAGGAAAGGAAGAACTAAAGAAAACTGAAAGGAAAGGGAAGCAAACAACAGAGAAGGAGACATAGCTCAGAAGCTCAAAAGCTCAAAATGATTGAAGCCATATCTCCATGAGGTTGATCTGTGACTGTTTCACCCGGTGCGTGAGCAGGTTGAACTCGTGGACAAACTTGTCTTTGCACTTAAGAATCGTCGGGTCATCGTTATTAAACATCCATGCATTTCTTACTGACCAGATGCTCCATGTCATGAGTATGATAATATCCATAGCAAAAGGGAGTTGAAGAGCCCTCTTGATGTGGGAGATAATTTGCAGGATATTCCTTGTCGTGCTGAAAGATATTCCAATTGAATTCCAGCAAGCTTTGGCGAACCTACATCTGAAGAATAGGTGTGACGTGTTATGAACGACGTATAGGAATATGAAGTAAAGAATCAAACCACAGAGGAGACACACGATTTAACGTGGAAAACCCCTCCGATGTGAAGGGGAAAAACCACGGGCACCAGCCAGCAACAATCTCACTATCTCAAAAGTTTTGGGTTACACGCCTATGGCGGCTTACAAGAGAATCAAGTCTCCACGAAACCCTAGCAAGGGTGTATATATATGTCTGCAGATTATGGGGGCTCACCCCGCACCCCCAAACACAGGGGCGAGACCTGATGGGCCGGCTTCAGACTCCGCTACGCTCCGGCCCAAGCCTCCGGCGACGGGCCTCCGCTTCGCTCCGTCAGAAGCCTGGCCTATATCCTGGAGTGAATTTGGAACAACTCCAACAAACTCCACCTTGAGACAAATTCATCTTGTATCATAAATCAACCCTTCATCCTGAACATACCAAAGATAGAAAACCACTGGTGCCAACAATAGTCTCTTGGACTATCCAATTAAACCAACTAAGCTTGAGCACAGCTCAAACTTAGCAACAGGAACAGGCTTTGTCATCATATCAGCAGGATTATCATGAGTACTAATCTTGCATACCTTCAGCTTACCTTCTTCAATCACATCACGCACAAAATGATACTTGATATCTATGTGCTTAGTTCTCTCATGGAACATCTGATCTTTAGTGAGGTAAATTGCACTTTGGTCATCACAAGGTGCAAACTTATGCAAGATTCAACTCCACAAAGCTCAACAGACAAACCTTTCAGCCAAATTAATTCTTTGCACGCTTCACAAATAGCCATATATTACTTTGATGAGTAGACAAAGCAACAACCCCGTCGTAAAGTAGCCCTCCAACTCACAAAGACAACCGCCAACAAGAAACACATAACCTGTAAGTGATCTTCACTTTGTCCAGATCAAGCAAAGATAATCGAGAATCCACATAGCCAATAAGACCCTTATCAGTTCTTCCAAACTTTAAACAGAATCTCTTGTGCCTCGAGGTACTGAAAATCCAATTTGAATCGCCTCCAATGTTCTTTTTGCCGAGATTAGACATATATCTACTAACAAGACTCATAGCATATGACAAATGGACGAGAGCAAACCATGGCATACATCAAAGACCCAACAGCACTAGAATAAAGAACCCTTGACATATATTCAATCTCTGCATCTGTACTAGGACAATTTGAAAGCAAACGACAACTTAAAGTGAGGTGCAATAGGGGTACTAATGACCTTTAGCATTTGCATGTTGAAACGTCAAGAACTTTCTTGATATAATTTTGTTGACTAAGAAATAGCAAACCAGATTTTCTCATCTCTACTAATTTCCATACCAAGAATTTTCTTAGCACTACCAAGGTCTTTCATATCAAACTCACTACTCAATAGCTTCTTTAACTTAGTGATTTCAATCTTACTCTTGGCGACAATCAACATATCATCAACATATAACAACAAATATATAGGTGATCCATTAACATGCTTGATGTAAACACAACTATCATACTTAGATCTTTTAAAACGTGTGCTAACATAAATGAATCAAACCTTTTGTTCCAATGACGAGGGACTGTTTTAAACCATACAAGGATCTCTTCAACTTGCACACATATTTTTCCTTGCCGTGCACTATGAACCCTTCCGGTTGGTCCATGTATATGTCCTCCTCAAGCTCTCCATGCAAAAACGCAGTCTTCACATCTAACTTGCTCAAGCTCAAGATCATGTGAAGCAACAATACTAAGGAAAGTACTGAATTGAACTGTGTTTTACCACTTTGGAGAGAACACATCATTGTAGTCAACACCGAATTTGATCAGTAGCCTTTAGCAACTAACCTTGCCTTATACTTTGGAGGCTCGCTTGGAGATAAACCCTCCTTTCTCTTGAAGATCCATTTGCAGGTGATGGTCTTCTTATTCTTAGGCAAAGGTACAATCTCCCATGTATTTATTCTTCTCAAGAGATGCATCTCCTCATGCATAGCGCAAATCCAATTCTCAAAGATCACCACAACGAATAGCTTCTTTATAGGTTGCTTTGGCTCATGAACATTCTCCACTGTTCAAAGCACAACTCAAAGCATAGTAAGACAAATTACACTCTTCAATAAGACGCTTAGGAGGTGCAATTGTCCTTTTTGACTTGCGTTGAGCAATAGGTAAATCCTCCTCTAACTGCAAAATAGGAGGAGTTTGCTGAACATCATCATGAGCATCATCCTCAGCAACATCATTATCATGGTCACCATGCTCATCAATAGGCTCCACCTGCACACCTGTATCATCATCAACATGCTCCACCTGCATGCGCATACGCTGCAGCTCCTTTTCTGGAACATGATCTGAGGGCAAACTGTCAGTAAACATCACAGATTCATTGAAAACAACACTCCTGCTCATAAAAGTCTTTCCTGTTTCAGGATTCCACAATTTATAGCCTTTGACTCCCGAACTATAACCAAGGAAAAGACACTTAACAGCTCTAGGCTCTAATTTTCCATTATCAACATGAGCATAAGCAGTGCATCCAAAAACTTTCAACTGTGAATAATCAGCAGGCGTACCAGACCATACCTCAATGGGAGTTCTTTTATTTAGTGGAATAGAAGGCGACCTGTTTATCAAGTAACAGGCAGTATTAGCAGCTTCAGCCCAAAAACGCGCTCCGGCCCAAGCCTCCGGCGACGGGCCTCCGCTTCGCTCCGTCAGAAGCCTGGCCTATATCCTGGAGTGAATTTGGAACAACTCCAACATGACGTCCTTTCTATTTTTTGCAAAATGCAGAGCTCACAAGTATAAGAGTCCAATTGCATATTCTTCCTTCTTAGGATGTCTTTTGTGCTCAGCCTGTCCTTGAGTAGGAGCCAGAAAAAAAACCTTGTGTTTCATCTGGCATTTTGATGTCCAAATCCATTTGAAAGCTGGGTGTATCATTCTAGTTCCGATCATCACTTTATATGCTTTTGCCGTTGAGTAAATTTGGTTGTTCCAGATGTATGACCATATGTCTTTATCTTGTCTCAGAACAATTCCATGCATGGTTTGCTTTAAAGATTCTAGCTGCTCAAACGCCTGAGAGGAAAGAGGAAGATGGAAGCATTCAGTGATATCATGAAGAGCTGCGACATGGCTGAAAGTAATGTTGGGGTCCTTAACAAAAGAGAACAGGTGAGGGTAGTCTTGTGCTGGTATGACCCCGTGCCATAAATCCTTCCAGAAGAGCCATCATTAATTATCGGTGCTGCCAGTCCCTTGTATGTATCTAGTAGCTTAACAATGTCCTTCCACCAGAACGAACCCTTGTTTTGCTGACCCGGCAATGTCCCATTATGATAGTAGTTATCCCATATGAGTTTGACCCAAGGAACATTCACTTTGTTGAAAAATTTATGGAGAAATTTCATGAGCATAGCATCATTATGTGTCGCTGTTCTCTGCACTCCCAGTCCTCCTTGCTTTTTTGGTAGTGTTACCATACTCCAAGCCGCTTTGTGAGGTTTTTTTGAGCCTAAGTCACCACCTCTCCATAAACAGTGCTTCCGGTACTTATCTAGTTGATTGATGATCCCTTTGTGAAGCTTTAAAGTTCCTGCATGAAAGACTGTTGAGGAGGAGAAAACCGAATTAACCATTTCAAGTTTGCCTCCTTGACTTAAGAACATTGATGTGCATTGCAGTCTCTTTTCGACCTTTTGCATCTGGGGGACGAAATCTTCAATGTTTGGTTTGGTAGTACCCAGTGGCAGTCCAAGGTATGTGAAAGGAAGGGACCCTTTTTGACATTGAAAGGTTGTTGCCAGGTTCTGCAAAGTTTCTTCAGAAATATTGAGAGGGACCATGATGGATTTGTTGTAGTTAACTCTCAAACCAGTGGATGATGCAAAAGCATTTAAGATTTCTTTGAGATGTAAGAGCTGGGTCAGGCAAGCTTCCATGACCATTAGCGTGTCATCAGCGTATTGAATTACCGGGAAGTCTGTTCCAGCTCGTTGTGGGATTGGCAAATTGAGTAGTCCCCTATCTTTGGCATCATTTACCACTGTTTGCAAAAGGTCTGCTGCTAGGACAAACATCAGTGGAGAAAGGGGGTCTCCCTGTCTGACTCCTCGCTTGCAATGAAAAACTTTCCCAGGTGTGCCATTTAGAAGAACCGAGGACGTTCCTGAACTGAGGATAGCTGATATCCATTTAATCCACTTGGCTCCAAATCCCTTATGCTTCATGACCTCCAGGATAGCTTGATGTTCAATCTTGTCAAAGGCCTTCTCGAAGTCTAATTTTAAGATAACCATTTCCTTCTTTGATACTTTGCAGATGTGAAGGTACTCAAAGGCCCATGCAAGGCAATCATGAATGGATCTTGACTTAATGAAACCATATTGGTTAGCATGAACGAGTCTCGTGATGACTTGCTGAAGCCGCTCTGCCAGAATCTTAGTGAGTATTTTGATAGTTGAGTTGAGCAGTGAGATGGGCCTGAAGTCCCCTACCAAATGCGGGTTATCTTTCTTGGGGATTAGGGTGATATAGGATGAGTTAATACTGTTAAGACAGATGTTCCCTTCTTGGAAGTCTTCACAGAGCTTGTAGAAATCCTGACATATTGTTCCCCAACATTTTTTGATGAATTCTCCATTGAAACCATCAGGTCCTGGAGACTTGTTATTTGGAAGTTCATGAATCACCACTGTCTATTTCCTCCTTCGTTATTGGGCTGTGTAACCATTCCAAGTCCGGGTCTATTTGAAGGAGGTTCGAAGATCAAAGTACATATGGGAGTAGTCTGAAGTTCCTAATCTGTCTTTGAAGCTTTCCCCACAAAAGGGCAGCCTTTTGCCTCATGATCATCATACAGAGCTGTTCCTGCTTGATCTGTCAGGGAGGTTATTGAGTTTAACCGATTTCTTACGGAAGCGTTGGCATGAAAAAAGCTGGGTGCATTCATCCCTAGCTTGACCCATTTGATATTTCCTCTTTGTTTCCAGTAGATATTTTGATGGTGCAGGAGAGATTGCAAGTCTTTGGGTCAAAAGTTGCCTGAGTTCCCACTCATGAATGCTCAGATCTCTGTCTTCCTCCAAGACATCCAGGAATAAGATCAAATCTTTGCAAATCTGAATGGTAGATGCCAGGTTTGGTAGTTGTTTTTGCCATTCCTTAAGAACACGTCTTAGATTCTTGAACCGAGCTGTCACTATTTTAGCACTCGAGTGTGTTGGGTGGGTAAGTTCGAGGCATGTTGTAAGACAGGCGTAAAATGATCATGCTCCAGCCAGTAATTTTCAAATCTGAAGATATGTGGTTTTGGCACTTTGGTGGAAGCGGTTATAAGACATGGAGTATGATCTGAGATATCTCTTGATAGGGCTGAGACAAAAGTGTTTGGAAAGGACGTTGTCCAGGAGGCTGAAGTGAAGAACCAGTCCAGCCTTTCCAGCAATGGATCATGCTGTTTGTTGGTCCATGTACACTGACCGCCCCTTAGTGGCAGTTCTTCTAACCTTAGCTTACTAATTGCAGCGTTAAATAAAAGCATTTCCTGTATGCTTCCTCCTGGCTTGTTTCTGTCTTGTGGCTTGCGAAGCAGATTAAAGTCCCCTACCACCATCCAGAGAAGGTCATCAGGCATATCTATGTTGTCAAACCAATTGAGGAACTGCATTTTCCCCTCCGGAGTGCACGGGGCGTAAATATTTGTGAGAATCCAAGACTGGCCCGATACTTTACAGGTTAGGTTGACCGACTGCGCATACTCATTCTGGAAGATCATTTCCCCTTCGAATTTAGATTCCTTCCAGACAATTAGGCTCCCTCCCGAGTTACCATTGGACGGGAGATAAGTGAATCCTGACATTGTCGGGGACATAATTTCTTAACATATTGTACATCAAACACCTCTCTTTTTGTCTCCTGTAAGCAGATGATGTCGCACTGAGACTCTTTTATTTTGCTCCGAATTGCCTCCCATTTGCTCTGAGCGTTGATTCCCCTGATATTCCAGGACAAAATCCTCCAGGACCTGTTATTGTTGTTCTGATTCATATTGTTAAAAGAATATTTGTGTGGCTAATACCCCAGAAAGAAACGGCCAAAGAGTACCAAAAAACGGGGTTCACACAGCTCATCAGAATAAAGGAACTGGGAAACATAGGAGAGCTTATGACGATCATATAGGAGCAAATCATTTCTGAAAGCCACCAAGTTCGGGACCATTTGTTCCCATTCACCACATTGCATGTGGGGCGCAAAGTGTAGGACATAAACATGTTCAACATACAGAAAAAGAAACCACCGGCCCAACAGACTGATTGTCTAGAACAACACTTATCCATAGATAACAAAAGAATTAAACTTCATTGTCCCTGGGAGCCTTCATTTCTTTGATTTTTTGGGCACCTCATGGGGTTGGGGACCTTCCATGCTCCCTTTGGCCTTTGCTCTTTTCTTGGCTCTACATGTCCATGCTGGGAGCCAAAAGTAATGATCATGTCGTGCACAAACTGGAGGCGGCTCATTTGGGCCGTGATTTTGCGAAGAACGCCGTGCGCGTGCTGTCGAGCCACTCAAATCCGGTGGCTGGTATCGATCTGAGGCCCAGGGTGGCACTGGCGGGCCTGATCCACGACTCCTTTTCACGAGGGTGGAGCACCGGCACGGGATTCGCCAAGTAATTGATGACTGAGAACGTCTGGGAACATGGGAAAATGTCGAGCAAGCTAATGGCATGGAAGACCCGAGGGTACGCCAGCAATGTGAGCACACAGAATTGGCAACCACACCCCATTATGGAGCTACAAACTCTTTACCTCGTGCTCAACAACACCCATACAAGTGATCAGGATAAAAAAGAAGAAAAGAAGAAGAATCAACGTGGGAAGCCTGGCAATGTCAACAACGATGGAGATTCTATTAATAAGCCCGGAAACACTGGCAGTGGTCGCGGCCCTCCTGGACAAAGTAGAGGTGGCCACAATACCAAAGGATGTGGCGGCCCTCCTAGCCAAAGCGGAGGTGGCCGCGAGCGTAAAAGGGGATTCAACAATGGCAGCAATGGGAGCCCACAAATCCAACACAAGAAGGCCTGCAACATTGGCATTGGTGGCATCTCTGCTAGCAAATCATCGGAGGAGGCTAGCGATGCTGGCAGCAATGGCGGCCGTGATAGCAAATCAGAGGAGGCTAGCGATGCCGACAGCGGCAGCGGCCCTGCTAGCCAAGCCGATGAGGCCGGAGACGACACCAGCAGCAGTGGTGGCGATTCTTCTAGCCAACCTGGAGAGGTCGGTGATGGTGACAGCAGCGGTGACTCTGCTAGCGAACCCGGGGAGGCCGGTGACAACGGGGATCTTGATCTACGATGCCAGGGCCACGGTCGACCTCGGGTGGAGCTATTGGCCATACATGCTGATCTTCATGTCAAAGGCACGGAAATCGTCGTCTTTGACGGCAGACGAGGCCAGATCATCTATAGGAAGGAGGAAGGAGAAGAGGAGTCCGAACAGGTATACATATATTATGTCTTACTAATTTGTCAACTTAGGGCATGTTTGGACCCCTTCTCTAAACTTTAGAGTTCTAAAAACATTACAGTATTTTAGCTCATTATATAGGTCTAAAGCTCTAATGTGAGGTGGCTAAAGTTTAGAGCTAACTTTAGACCACCTGTTTGGAGACTTTAGCTCTAAAGTTTAGAGCAGCTGATCCAAACATGCCCTTATATTCCCATAATCGCTACAATTTTAGGAGACATAATCATTAGGTAGTCACTAGTCCATCAACCTTTGCTTTCGCAGAGCTAGAATCATAGAAGATATAAGCATTACTTATTATTTAATACCTCTAACTAATAAAAAAAATTACTTAAAATAAATTGTATGTTTTTTCTTTTTATTTATTTTCTAGCACAATAGGTATAATAGATACTTTGTAGACTATATCTAGTTATCATAAACTTATCAATTACTTTTTTGCAAGTAACTGATCAGTATGTTTTTTCACCCATATTCACAGTTTTCTCATGGCACCTCTTTATATTTTGATTTTTCAAATTTGATCTTATTAGTTGCCACAAATTTTTATACTCAAACTAAGGTGAAACTCTTGTGTTTATTGTATTTTTTATTAATTTTTTCTTTGTTTTTATTAAAAATAAGAAATCTTTAGATGTTCATATTTACTAGTAACACCAACAACTAATAAAAAAATTTATATTAATCTGCGCATTTTGTTTCTCTTTGTTCATTTTTCTAACAAAATACAGATATATAGATGATAAACTTATTAATTACTTATCTATTTATTTTTATCTATATCTATAGTTTTCCCTCAATCTATGCATGGCGCCTTTGTTTATCTTCACTAGTTGATTTTTTTTTTAAATTATGGTGGGTTTTTTCGCCGCCCATATCTCATGACGTCATGAATCTATTAAGATTATGATTTTCAAATTTGATCATATTAGCTGATACAACTTTTTATAATTAAGTTATTAAGTTCGAACTCTTGTGCTTATTGTATCTTTTTTAAATATCCTTTTGTTCAAGATTGATGGTAGAACTTGAAATAAAATCTCGAATGGGATAGCGGTGCTAAACTCAAGAGGATATTAATATCGGGGCATTATTATCATTGTTTACTCCAAACAAATCTCAAACACCATATGGTCATAGACACTATTTCTTAGTGCTTCTTGTGAGTATTTGTATGCAGTAGTAAAATGATGCCTAGAGTATAGAAAATTAAAGGCAATTTGTTTTTGATCATTGCGAAAATTTTGCAGAATTTATCTTTTCTTTCTTTGTGTATCTTGGGAGGATTAGAAATAGTAAGATGTCTACTATATGAATCTTTTTTACAACCATGCCATATTAATCAAGCAGTGCATGCATGTAGGGAATGGTCGAGTTGGTACTGACTGGACCCTACAAAGGCATCTCAGCTTATGGGTGCTTCGCCATTAAAATTAACATCCCACCTGCCACTGCCAGTAGCAGCAGTGGCGATGCCGGTGGTCTCATCCAATGGGAATGGGACTGTTATGACCCCAAGTACGCCGCCCAAGTCGACCAACTACCCGTGAGCCATACCATCTGCGCTCCGGACATGCGCCCCGAGGTAGCTGAGGTCACCTACGTTGTGATGTCAGATGCCCTGGAGGCCACAGTGCAGGTCAGGCTGCGACTCAAAGATGGGCATAACACTGCTGGCATTGGTGGTGAGATCACTGCACGTATCGACGGCTTTGAAGACAAATACAGGAGCGTCCTCTTCAGGTGTGCAAAGGGGACGCGTCAGTGTTTCTCCCCTACCGATGACGACTCGTGGTTCCTTCTTGAGCTGGCGAGGAATGTGGTTGCAGTGCCATGCGGCAGTGCGCTTCAAATAGAGGTGAACCTCCAGATTGAAACTGGCGATGGCAAGAAAGTTAAATTGAATAATGTTCCTCTCCGCTTCGCAAATGGAATTAGTTCCAGTAAAACTGACGACGGCAATGAAGTGGAAGTGGAAGTGGAAGTCACCTGGTACCCGGAGGTAAACATTATATTGAAGACAGCTTTTTATCATTTCTTATTCTTTTAACGAATACTAATAATCTTGTTGTCTACTGAATGATTATTATATACTACTAATCCACTGCAGATCGCACGACCAATAAGTCACCCTCCGGAGCAAATAATAACCAGCAAAGAGGCTCATCTGGAGAAATCTATTACTGCTCCGTCGTCGTTAGAACAAATCATCAGTGGTACACTGGAGGTAAATTAAAGGAGGACTAGCTACTATAGCGCTTGCGCTAAACATTGAAGACATTTGTTACTCCCTCCGTCCCAAATCATAAGTCATTCCAAAAATCTTGGAGAGTCAAAGCATCTCAAGTTTGATAAAAATTATAGAGAAAAATATAAAGATTTATGACATCAAATAGGTATACTATAAAAATATATTTAATAAAGAATCTAATGATGCTTAGTTGGTATCATAAATGTTATTATCTAATTATATAAATTTGATCAAACTTTAGATGCTTTGACTCTCTAAGTTTCTTGGAATGACTTATAATTTAGAAATGGTGGGAGTATCACTTTCCTTGTTTTAACTAAACTCTCGGGTAATGCATGCAGGCCAAAATGGTTTCGGGGCATCGAACTGTAGTGTACACCATCGGAGACGAACTGTCGTTCACTGAATTTATAATGGCTCTCCGTGGCATCCTCGCTGACCATCCAGACCGCGAGGATATCTTTGATCGCCACCACAGTTCAATTCTCTCCTCCACCAGAGAACACCCAGTGCTCGCCAAGCAACGTGCTGAACAGCCGGCGAGGTGGATTCACGTCAAGCTGCAAGTAGTGAAGGGAGAGCAAACGATGTCGACAACCCTAATCATGCGGGACGACAACTTGTATGTCTGTGGCTTCATGAACCAGCAAGGAGATTCATTTGAGCTCATCGAGAACCCGGATAGATCTGCCGATATACTCCCAGTCGATGAATACAATCCCCAACGCCTAAGCTGGGGTGTCGGTTACAGATCCTTACTGGACTTCGACACTAAAGGTGGTCTTGAGAGACTACTGGAGTACGTGAATCCGAGCCAGTACTTCGCCATGGATGCCGTGCACGTGCTGTCGTGCTTCCCAGCTTGGGTTGACCATCCATGCTTGAAGTCACCCAGATTGGCACTAGCGGGGCTGATCCTCATCGTCTGCGAGTCTGCAAGGATGAATCCAACCTACAACTTCTTTACAAGCTCGTGGAGCAGGAGCACGGAAGATTACACGTCATTTTCCGACAGGAAATTAACCCATGATTACGTGTTGAATAAATATGGGAGGATGTCACGCCAGCTGCTAGCATGGAAGAGTAGAAGATATGCCAACCCGCACCCTATTTCACTGCTACGAGACATTTACCTCGTGCTCAACTACCGTTTGGATCCACCTCATCAGGCCGGCGGCGCCGAGAGCAGCAGCAGCTTCATGGACCTTTCTTGGTCGCGACATCGGAAGGCTGACGGCGCCAAGGACCGACCTCGGGTGGAGCTGTTGGCCATGCATGCAGACCTTGGGGTCCTTGGCACAACCGTAATAGTCTTCGACGGGAAACGAGGCCATATCATCTATAGGAAGCAGGAACAAGGAGAAAAGGTACATGTATTTGATCATGTCTATTAACTAATCCCTGGTATCCATAATCTATATGAATCTTTTTAGCATGAAAGCAATAATAGATTAGATTATTAATGAAGCAATGTGCATGGTTGTAGGGAAAAATGGTTGATTTGGTGCTCACGGGACCCTGCACAAGCATCTTGGCATACGGGTGTTTTGCCATCAAAATTGACATCCCAGGACCCTACACAAGAACTTGCGATGGCGGCGGCGGCGGTTCCATCAAATGGGAATGGGACTGCTATGACCCAGAGTACGCCAGGGAAGTTGACAAAGGACCCATGACTCAGACCATAAGCTCTTCAGGCCCCGGCCGCAACGTTAAGATCACCTATGCGGTGATGTCCAACGCCCTGGAGGCCACAGTGCAGGTGAAGCTGCGGATGAAAGATGGGAACAGCCCTTGTAGCGTCTACGGTGTTATTACCGCTAGCATTGGTGATTTCAAAGGCCAGAGCATCCTCTTCTCGCGTACAAAGGAGACGGCACAGCATCTCTCTCCAATGACGGACTCGCCGCAGGGCGTCCTGTATCAGCTGGTGCGGTCCCTTGAGCTGGCCAGGAATGTGGTTGCGGTGCCATTTGGTAAATGGCTTCACATAAGGGTGGACCTGAGCATTGAAACTTCCAAGAACCAAGGGGCTAGTATTAATCCGCGTTTCAATAATATTATTCTCTCCTTCGACAACCGCAGTAGCTGGTCGATTCAACGTCGTGAAGTGGACGGGTATGAAGTTGAAGTGAACGTCGCCTTGTACCCTTGTGGTGAGAGTGTCCCGCGACCGTGGAAGGTAAACATTGAAAACATGACCGAGCACTCGTTGCTCAACACATTTCTTATGCTTTCCTTTTGTTTTGTTTTGTTTTTCGCTAATCATCAGATATGTCATATGTAGTCTTTTGCTTGATCACTACTACATATGTACTGCAGATCAGGATGTGGCAACCTGACATATCCTACATGGTTGGGAATGATGCAGAAGGATTCAGTACATTCATCATTGAGCTGCGTAGATTGGTGACCGACCACCCACGCTGCAGGGATCTCGTGGCTAATCATCCAGATCTCTCATCCAGAAGTAACAACAAAGTGCTCCGCAAAGTCAACCTGACATATCCTGACACTCACCGCATCCAATCAGAAAGTTTGTTTCACATCAAACTGGAAGCGGAAGCGGAGGAGGGCGTGGAAAAAACGTCATCGATAATCTTAGTCATGCGGTGTGACGACTTGGACGTAATAGGCTTCATCAACATGCAGGATCGTCGAGCCTTCTGCTATGAGCCTGGCTCTCGTCGGGAGCTCCCAGGAGAATATAGTTCAAAACTTCTACGGTGGGACTACGGAAGGGACAGGGAGCAAATACTGGGCCCCGCGAGGCTGGGCAAGACCTTCATGGCGGAAGCCGTGCGCGAGCTATCGCGCTTTACAGATAAGGGGCCGAGTGAGAAAGCCAAGCGGTCACTGGTGGGCCTGATGATCATGGTCTGCGATTCAGCGAGGATGAATCCTGTCCTCCAGGCCATTGCCGGTGGCTGGAACAACGGGACCAAATTCACCAAGGAACTGATGGGTTACATAAAGAACTGGCCAGTAATATCAGGAGCACTGCTGGACTGGAGGGATCACGCCTACCAAGGATGGCCTCAAAACAGCACGCTAGAGTCGATGGGAATCACGAGCGCAGATGATGCACTAAAACTTGTCCCCCTCGTGTTCAATCATCCGGATCGGATATGCCCACCATACTACTAGACTTCGCCAAATTATATACACATATGTTATTTGTTGTATCCCTCTTGTTGTCACAAAATCATGTCGATCGGGCACTGGTTTTTGGTTATATGGCATGCGTGGCCTGGAAAACTAGTCGGGTTAGGGGCCCATGCATATATTGGCCAAATCAGGTACCCTTTTCCCTTTTTTAATCTTATTTAGTTTACAAATAAATAAATAATGTCGTCCAGACATGATGCGTGTGACCATTGGAGCTAGTATTTGTCGTTTAATCTCGTAAACCAGACAGTACCGGCCGGTATCAAGAAACTATATGAGCAAATATAAACACTGCTGCATTTGGTGCAGCATGTAATGGTTAATTTGGAATCACAATAATACTGCTTGCCATCTATGTCCTAGCTGGCTAGCTAGCTAGCAGTTGAAATCCTGCTCATGTCATTCCTTAGGTACCAACTGCTAGCTGAAGTTTGCAACGCGAGCTTTACTTTGTCTTCCCAGTTGTGCCTTTGGGTTCCATTTGTTTATATTACCTGAAACAGCAGGCCTTAGGACCTATTTGGATGCTTTGAAAAAAAAAACATTTGTGACTGTCAATTATATTTTCTGCTTTCAGTTTTCAGGTAGATTATATAAAATCCTTCGCTGGTCCACGAACTTGACTCGGTAGGTAAGGATCTGGGTGAAACGATCTATGGGATGATCTCCTCTAGTCCAACTTCATAAACTATATATTTGTGACTGTCTTCAGTTGAAGAAGAAGAGATCCATTTGGAGCATCCATTTGGAGCACCATCCTCATCTTTATCGAGAGGGATGAAAACAGAAGCGAAAAATCCTGCTCCGGACGATGTTGTATCCATATTTTCCCACCCGTATTCTGTTTCCTCAGGAAAATCCGAATACAGAATGGAACCAGGAAAACAGAACCGGCGCACCAGGAACAGCTTAGTAATAAAAACGGGACAAGAAAGAGTTGACGCAGTCTTCTGACCGTTTTAATAATGATGAAAAAAACGGGACTGAAAACAATTGAAGCATTCTCCTGACTATTTTGCCAGTACCCGTGTTCTATATTTATACAGGAATTCACGCCAGCATTTTCGTTCTTGTTAGTCGCTTCCAGCTTTGATACTGCTACGCTAGATCACCTGCGTCCTGAGACATATACTACGCAAGCAGTATTACTGTGGTGGTACTGAAAAAAAAAAAACTTGCTTGTCTGATAAAAAAACGTGTGCATGGAAGCTGCATGCGCTCGGTAGCACGGCAACCGCCAGTAGCTTCGTGTGGGTTGTGCCATGGTTTGGCCCACTGTAACACCCTAAAATTTGCATAACTTAGAAATAGGAGAAAATGATTAATTATGCATTTTTGTGGGCATTTGAATTTAGAAAAATAATGAATTTTATCAAATTAAAATCAAATATAGGTTTACAGGCATGTGTGGGCATTCATGCTGCTGTATAATGATTTTTGAGTAGTGTGATTTGAAATCAAACTTCAAATTGTTTTGAATTTGCATTTTGAGATTTGCTTTGGAAAAATTAGAAAAGGAAAAAAAATGAATTTTCCTTCCTGCCCCTTCCCTGCTTTCGGCCTGGTTGGCCTGCTCCTCTGCGCCCGCTGGCTTGCTTCTCCGTCGGCCCAGCTAGCCGCTTGGCTTTTCCTCCCTCCCCCCGCGCTCGGGCTGAAGCCTAGTCCCTCCCGCGCCCCGCTCCTCCCGCAAGGCCCATCAGCGTGCGCCCCGGCCCAGGTCTGCGCCGTGCCGCGTGATCTCTCCTCCCTCTCCCTGACTGCGCTGGCCCACATGTCGGAGCCGCCTTCTTCCTTGCATCGTGTCCGGCGCGGACACTATCTCCATCGATGCCGTTCGTGTCCGTCTCGGCTACGTCGTGTGTGCCGTGCCGCCCAAGTCCCCGCGCCTCTTAAATACCGCCCGTGCCTGCGCCACCTTCCTATCCCGTCTTGTATCAAGCTTTCCGCCTCGCCTCGCCTAAGACATATACTACGCAAACAGTAATACTATGGTGGTACTGAAAAAAAAACTTGCGTGTCTGATAAAAAAAACTTGTGCATGGAAGCTGAGCACGGCAACTGCCGGTAGCTTCGTGTGGGCAGGCAAAGCATCTTTATGCCTCCCTAGTCCGATCAAGTTTGTCCGTTTCTGTTATTTGTTTTTCTTTTTATTTTTTGAACCCATAGTGGAGGATGTGCTCATGTGTCTGTTGTGAATGTTATATTTATATATATATATATATATATATATATATATATATATAGGGAGAGGCTATTCAGTACCAGCTACAGAATAAGTTATTCTGTAGCCACCTCCATTTACCATAATTTTATATACTAATTTACGATAATATCAATATATATTTACTATAGTTGGGTTACTATAACACACGGAGATATTTACCATAATATTATAGTAAACTACTTAGTAAGGAGTTACTATAATCTCATAAATTAATATAGTAATTATCGTAACTCAAAGTGGCTACAGAATAAATTATTTTGTAGCCAGCTACAGGTAGCAGTTATATATATATATATATATATATATATAACACTAGCGCTGCTCACATCCTCTACTCCCACCGGTCACCGTCCCCTCCCACCAAATTAGTTAACAAAAAAAACTGAACAGACTCCCCGTGACGCGTACCTGATATCTTCCAACCCCGCCAAATTAATTAACCAAACTAATCTACAACATCCATCCCACCGAATACAACAGTTACAACCTATGAGTTGTTCTATTACAACTGGATTTGTAAAGCAGTTACAAGTGGCGTTTGATTAATTACCTGTTCAACCCTATGAGCTGTTCAATTACAACTGGATTCATAAAGCAGTTACAAGTGGCGTTTGATTAATTACCTAGTCGAAAATTCCACCTCCCACCAACCTGACACATCTAGATGTTATTGATCCGTACATCAGTTACAACTAGCGTTTGATTAATTGTTTGTTTGAATCTCACCTCACACTAACTTGGCACGCATGCATGCAAGGAATCTTTTCTTGATTCGGTTCTTGGAAATGCAATTTCTCACAAACTGTAAGACCGATCCCCGATCCGTTTGAAGAGTACTATTAAGAAAATCGTGCCGAACAAAATAAAATCCATGAAGGCTATATTTTGACAAAGTTTTTTAAAACAAAGCAAAAAATGTTTTTAAACACAATTCTACAACCAAATGAAGCAGACAATTACTACTACTCAGTTATAACTTAGTGTGGTTTGTAGTTATAATTTGATTTTTCTTGTAGAGAAACAATTATATTTTCTCTGAAACACAACTCAACAAAAAAAATGACACAATTACATTATGAATTACTACTCAGCTACAATTTAGTGAAGTTTGTAGTTATAAATCAATTCTTTTTGGAGAGAAACAATTACATTGTCTCAAAAACACAACTGCAACCAAAGTAAAGGACATAGTTACAATATGAATTACTGCCCAATTACAACTAGTGTAGTGCGTAGTTATAAATAGATTTTTTAGAGACCCGATTTACCTGCAGCTCCATGCACCGCTGCCTCCGCCCATCGCCCCGCCACGGCGCGGTAGGGTCTCTCCGGAGCTCCACTGCCGCTGCCGCAGGCCTGAAGCTCCATGGAGTCCCTACCGCGCATGCGGCGACCCCTTCTTCCCCACCCCCCATACACCCAACCCCCGCCATGGCCATGGCTCTGGAGGAAGGATGTGCTGGGTGGGACCACGGCAGTGGCGAAACAAGTCGCGGGGGGAACGGCCGGCCCAGGTGTAGCAAGCTCACCAACATCAAAGTAGCTAGCAGTCGTCGATGCTCACCATCAACTAGATCTTCTCGATCGCGGCCATGGCGATGGCGATATCATGGGGAGGACAACGGTGACAGGCGGACCCACAGTGGTGGCTAGGTTACATGCGGGGAGAATGGTGGTGCGATGTGCGGGGAGGATAGCCAACCCAGGTGCGGCAACGGCAGATGTAACCGGTATTCCACGATCTTCTAATCGCTTCGGTTTGTCCTGGAGATGTGGGTTGAGAAGGGTCGACGGTAATGGGATAGTTGAGGATGACGGCCGGTGGGCGGAGGTTGAGGGGCAGCGCTGACGCGGGGAGGTTGAGAAGGGTCGACGGCGGTGGTGGGGATCAGTAGCGGCACCAGGCAAGCTTGGATGTGGAGCCACGCCAGGCACATAAGGAGCTGCGCAGGCGAGGGGAACGATGATGAACCGAAAAAGATCGTGGCCTCATGGGTGGGATAGTGGTTGGGCCTCGGCGAGAAATAAAAATGGGCCGAGCCAGAAGTTCGATAAACGAGTTGATGACGTGTGCCTGGGTAATGAATAATATTTATTTAGTACCCAGGGTGCTACATAGAATACCTATATAATATCTCCTCAAATCTACATCTAAATTATTAACATCTTCTATAAGAAAAAATATTTAAATAACCATAAAGCCTACATATGTTTCTATATTACACACTTTTATCAATGTTATTATATTGAAACTTAATTAAAGTAAACATACACATCGTGACAGTATACATGAGCCATAAATATACATATTATGTTTTAGTATATAAAAATATTTCCTTAACAACTCATAATTAATGATACTAACAAATTGTTTAATTTAAAAAACATATTCATAAACATGACATAATTTATATATGTTGTAACTTTAGATATATTTATATATTTTAACTAAAATGTTTAATATAACTAAACCATTATTGAATATATAATTCCTTGATAGGAAAATTCAATCATCTTGAGAAGTGGGAGAGGCCACTATTGACTATATTTTTCCGACCTTTAAGATTCCCTTAAAGTAAGTAGGCAATCATTATAAGGCTTGTATTCCTTTGGAACAAAGGAAAAACATAGGAATATTAGAGGATTTCAATTCTATAGAAAAGTTTCCTATACAATGTGGGGGGTATAACCCTAGATACCCGCTGGATATGACATGGGCCGCACCATCAAGGGTGGTCCAGCCCACAAGATGAAG